AACCCCGAGGATTCATCTGCAATGTATCAATCATTCATTCACCAAAGCCCTCTAAAAGAAGGCCGGCGGATCCTCAGCGAGAAGAACGCCAACGCGTGTCTCTCGCCCGCACGCTCACCCACCAAACAAGCGCTCCTCCACGCTCCGTCTCCGTCCCCGAAGAAACTCCTGCCTTCACCTTTATTCGCCCCCTCGTTCATTGCTCAGAAACGCTCTATTGGTCAGGTGCATGAGGAGGATGCGAGTTCTTTGCCAGTGCCTGGCCATGGCCAGCGCGTCGATCATGGCCCCGACGCGATGAACATAGATGTCCCCGAACAAACAACGCAGCCAGCCAAATCCACATCAGAGGAACAAGTAGACCCAGCAATAACATTACCGCGAGCCGTCCCATCAGACCCCGAAACGCGAAAACAATTCATACAAGAGGTTCGTGCATAACCCTAACTCCGCAAACAAACAATGACCCATACTAACAAACCGCAGAAAGCAATCCTGCTCCGCAGCAGACTGCAAAACGCCATGCGACGCGTCCGAGATCACCAAATCGACCGTCGCGTATCAGAGCTCGAAGAACACAGTCGGAAATACCCTCGCCTTTCAGCATCAGTCACCAGCAAACCTTCCGATACCGGAGTTGGGTTGCAACAACATTTAGAGCAGAAGTACGGGCCAGATGGAAATGAGGACGATGACGAGCCAATGCTATCGACGCCGCGAGCACGGATGCCAAGGGATGAGCAGGAGCAAAGGGAGATCATCCACATAAGCGATGAAGACGACGAGACGACACCTACCCAGAAGAACCAGCACATAGCGACAAACGTGGACACGGCGCCGTCGTTGCAGATGGTTTTGAGCAGCCCTACATACAACTCAACCACGCAAACCGGCCGATTCGATGATGATCGGCCAGTTGCGCGGGAAGCCACTATCGCGACGTCGCCTTCTTCGTCGGTGCGAGGTGAGCGTCGCGGGGATGGTGATGCGGTAGACGGGTTATTAAAGCTGATGTCGACGCCGACCGCGGGCTCGAGCCAAGCGCAGCCGCGGGCTACGGGCGCGAGCGCATGAGTACGTACCTCTTGGAGTTTTGGGTGTAAAATAGACATGAGCTTTGGGTGGAAATCTGGTGTTTGGAGTAGTATGTAGATCAGGTTGCGATATTGGCACTGCAGTGATATGACCTTGATATAAATGGCATGTCCGCAAGGACTACTTTGGTTGATTATGATGACGCTGTCTTGTCTATATCTACACATCACAGTAATGACACCCTAGGTAGCAAGTCTACCTACCTAACCTTCTTCAACTTATTCCTCTTGCGTCCCAAAATATCCCTCCCCTCATCAATATCCACCATGGCCTCCCTCTTCGCCGCCCCAACCTCCTTCAACAACGTGCCCTTCGCGACACGAGCCTCAAGATTCACCCCCTCCTCCTCAAACTCCACCATCTTCCGTCCGACCCGCTCCTCAATCGCAAGCACAAGCTGTACATCACGCTGTCCAACCAGCGTAACCGCCTCACCCGAGCGCCCCGCACGCGCCGTTCGTCCAACACGGTGCACATAGTCGTCTGGGTTTCGCGGTACCTCGTAATTCACAACCAGATTCACGGACGGGATATCAAGACCACGGGATGCGACGTCCGTGGCGACGAGAACGCGCGCCGCACTGGCGCGGAAGCGTGCGAGATTCGAGTTTCGCTCGCTTTGTGGGAGGTTTGAGTGTAGGGATGTGACTCTGTGGCCGAGCGAGCGGAGGAGACGTTCGAGGAGGTCAGCGGATTTGGTGGTGTTTGTGAAGACGATTGCATTTTTGGATGCGTTGTTTTCGGTGGAGAGGAGGGCGTGCAGGAAGGCTTCGCGGTGGGTGAGGGGGACCTGGACGTATGATGTTTTTAGGGTTGGCGGGACGGTATCTTTTGCTTCGGTGGAGATCTCCGTGACGAAGATGGGTGGTTTGCCGGAGGACTGGGGCATGGATTTCAGGGCGCGTACTTCGGGGGTCAGGGTTGCGGTGAAGAGGAGAGTCTGACGCTGGGAGGAGGGAGGGAGGGAAGAGAGGCAGGTTTCGACGTCTGGTAGCATGCTTCCTGGCCCAGGGGAGAGGAGGCGGTCTGCTTCGTCGAGAACGACCATGCGCACGCGCTTGAGGCCTGCTACTGTGTCGGCGCCGGAAGTGTTTATGTGGTCTGCTAGACGGCCGGGTGTGGCTACGACGACGTGGGGTCGCCGCGCGAGCTCCAGGGCCTGCGAGCGCATGTCTGTACCGCCGGTGATGAGGACGGGCTTCATGCTCTGGGGGGCGGAGATGGCCTTGATTTGTTCAAAGATTTGCAGCGCAAGTTCACTACGGGATTAGCCTCCCAATTTATCACCATCTTCTGGGAAAAAAACATACCGAGTCGGCGTCAGAATCACCGCAAAAATCCCAAACGGGTCCTCCGCCCACTTTTGCAGAATCGGGACTGAGAAGGCAATTGTCTTTCCGGAACCCGTTCGACTCCCACCAATACAGTCCCTCCCCTTCAGAATCTCCGGAATACAAGCCCGCTGAATAGCAGTCGGCTTGCGCACCGCCATCGTCGTCAACGAGCCGATCAACCAAGGCGCAACATTCAGCGCCTTGAACGATGACTCCTCGGCATTGAGACCGATTTCCAGCGCATCCTTAATCAATACAGGGTTTTCGTCGTCTTTCCCGCTGGATGCTGCACTGGTTGTTGTGGACTTTTTCTTAATTCGTGAAAGCGTGGGAAGTGGTAGCGGTGCGGGTGCTGCGGTGTAGGAGTCGTTTGAAGACTCAGAGAGGCGGCGGCGCTTGGGGGCGCGCGTTTGGTCTAGCGCAATACCGCCGTCAGCGGAGGCATCGGATGATACTGAGGATTCCCTCGATAGGGACTCTGCGGGGGATGAGGGCGCCATGTTGACTTGGTTGTTGCTGAATTTCTCCAAATTTCGCGGCAGAAAAAAGTTGTCGGTGACTGGTTGATATCTACACGTGACCCTTATCTATACCAGCATAATTTAAAGGTATATGCATAAGTCGATTTATGCAGTATATAGGTCGAGGCAGCTATATTTCAGTATATACTCGCAAGTCCCAAGTCATCAACCAGCTGAATCATCGATTAAGCATTACCATGGCTCCCCATATTCCTCCTCTGCCTGGCTTGATGCTCATAGGTACCCATTTCAATATCGTTCCCAGCCCCAGTATGTGTCAACCCAAACCCCTCAGGGAGCAGTACCCCCTCACCAGAACGCTGAGCAGTCTCCTCTGTGGTAGGTGTGTGCCCATAGACTCCACCCACACTCTCCATGGTAAATGGACTGGCAGTCGGCCCATCCAAAGCCGAGAGCTCCTCCTGCGTAAACCAGCGGGGCAACAAAAACGAGCGGACGGGGATCAAGAACAGAATAATGACAGGGAACCCAATGGCAGCAATAGTCTGCGTAATAGCAAATGTACCACCGAAACCGATCAGTTCGAGTATAACAAAGGCCCAGATGGCGCGGCGGCGTTTGAGGCCCTTGAGCGGGTCAGACCGGGGCGTGAGATCGCGGTCTTGCGCGAGGAAGATCAGCTTCTGTGTGATGCCGTTTCCTTGCAAAGCTTGGACGCCCATGACGAAGAAAAGGCCAGCCATAACGCCTTGAGGGATGAGATGCAGGACGATCAAGAGCGGGCCGGACATGGTGCCTAGAGTTAGAAGACCCTGCGCGAGGTTGCTGACTCGTTGCTCGACGACGTGATCGGTTATGCGGATTGTTTTGCCCTTGTTTGTGTCTTCTTCGTCGGCTACATTGCGGGTGACGCAGAGGGCCGCGGTGTGGAAGGGTGCTTGGGGAATGAGGCCATTGGGAAATGGGATGCCTAGGATTCCGGCAACGAATGTGGTCAGACCTAGCAGCCAGAGATCCCAATGGAAACCGGCTGGTTTGCGGAGAGGAAACTCGGTTCCTTGCGCAATAAGCGATGACACTGCCCTTGTTAGTCTGGCCCTAAAGATTATGAGGTCAACTTACCATTGTGATCAAAGTAGAACAGAATAGTAAGAAGGAGAGCAAACGGGATTGCGAGGAAGATATCCCCAACATCGAGATTCCAGAAATGTACAAGCCAACCACGATCAGCCGTGGGGAAGAATGCCTTGGACGTAGGCAGTGTCGCAACCTCGACGCTCCTCATGTGGCCGATGTGGACAAAACCGGTGAAAAAAACAATAGTCAACGGCGTGCCATAGTCCTCCAAGAACTTGCGAACATATCTCTGGAACAGACTGCTGTTGCCGAGCTCTCCACAGATCCATGCAGCCATGAGGACCAGCAGTGCCACCATGATACTCAGGTACGCAGACGTTTCCCCAGCAAATCCCCACTGTCTTGTGAGGACCTGGATTCCTTTCTGGAGATAGATAAACGCAACGTAGAAACCGAAAATGTCACATGAGAAGCGAGTGACATAGGTCAAGGCGTTGCAAGAATTCGTGATGGCGAGTATCCAATGCATAATAAGTGACCATCTGGGGATGTCAATACCCGGCTTTGGAACAAACGAAACATATGGTCAAACTCACATTCCAATCCAGCACATAAACTCGAGATAAGGAGTCCCACGCGGCGCAATAATGTCATACACGGTATAGTTGAAGACAGTAATCGGACCAGTAACCCCAACAATAACCAATGGCTGAGCAGCAAAAAGCGAAAAGACAAAGGACCCCAGGACCGAAGCCAGAAGAACCTCATTGACGCCGTAACTTTGATGCGTCTTCTCAAACATGTCAAGCGAGAAGGCCAGAGCTGGCAGGATGCTGCGCAGGTACAGTAGTTAGCACCAATGGTAGGGTAGGATAGGGTCGGCGGGGGTAGGGCAGGATGGGATATGGACAATCATACTTCGCAAAATACATGTAAACCGTAGCAGGGACAACGCGATAATCCCACGCATCAGCCCAATCACTCCAATAGTACGGAGCCCTGCGCTTCACATCGTCAATCATACCGCGGAAGAGCCGAATGCGCCACCACTTCGGTTCTGCGCTCGGGTTCGCTTCTTGCGCATGCTCATGAGCGTGCGGAGTCCGAGTCTGAGATTGAGCCTGACTCTGCTCCCCTGTGAAATGAGCAGGGGCAGGGCTTTCGCCCTCAGCATGCGCCATCCCAGCCCCAGTCCCAGCTGTAGTCGAGGACCGGCGAGGCTGGGAGAAGAGCTTCGACGGCGACCGCCAGGATCGTCGCTGGGAATTGGAATGGGAGGATGCTGGTGGAGAGGACGGGGAGTGGAAATTGGGCCCTGGGAAGTGTAGGGGCCCGTGGGACGAAGATGCACTGCTGGGGGGATCCATGTTGGCGTGGCGGGATGTTGAGTGTGCAGACTACAGAGTGCAGCTGTGGTGTAACTCTGTAAGTATGCGGATGCTGGTTTAGTTTGCGGAGTTGATGGGGATGGATAGCCGAGGAATATGCCCTGGCCGAGCACTGAGTATTGAGAGAAACAACTCGCGGTCTGAAGAAGTAGAGAAGAGAAGAGAAAGAAAGACCCGCTAAATAAGATATAGAACGGCTAGTATATAAAAGGCTAAAAACACTGCAGGGAATCCGATCATCCGAAGAAAGAGTTTGGAGAAAGTAAGAACATGACGGCCTGAGGCATTTTACTCCACGTCTCCAGCTACGACTTTCGATGAGCACGGGTTGGCGTCATTATTTGCATTGCTAAATCTGCATAGGATGCGGGCTGGATGCTCCGTACACAAACTGTTTGTCTCTTGCACACCGGTACGAGGATATGCCATTCATCATTCGGTGGTCAGACAAACGGGCTTGCAGATAATGATCCCGCATTCGCGAGGGCCAAGAAGACATTGCAGTTCATCTACTGGGATACATGGACAACTCATTAGAACAATGGAAATCAATTTGATTGGGTTAGTACAATACGTTAGTAGAAGCTAAAGCTACAGAATAGCAGATTAGACTAAAAATCCCTTCCCCGAAGAAGATAGATAAAGGCGTTCCTTCGTTGTTTTGGCGAATGAGCCTGCTCCCTTACCATTTTGCAGCAACTAAAATCAAATTACCAGACAACGGAATTATTGAAATCAAGCGCCGGGTGGAGGAGGAGGCGGGGGCTGGTCACTTGGAGGCGGAGGAGGAGGTCCCTCACCAGGAGGAGGCGGGGGTGGACTGCCGCTGGCGCCATAGTACATCGAGGACATCCCAGGCGGGGGTGGAGGAGCTCCCAGGCCAGGAGGAGCAGGAGGAGCGCCCATTCCAGGTGCAAGGGGAGGATACGCAGGATAACCATATCCATAAGCAGCCTGACCAGGTGCAGGGGGCGCGGCCTGTTGCCAGGGAGCGGGGGCTGCAGCTCCAGGGGCAGCAGCGTAAGCGCCAGCTCCATAACCGTAGTCGTTGCCACCACGGCCTTGATTTGCCCATGGTGCGGCACCACCGTTGTCGTTGGATCCGTAGTCGTCGCGGCGGTTGTCGCGGCCCCGTTGCTGCCAGGGAGCAATGTCGCTGGGAGGAGGGGCACGTTGCCAGGGCTTGTAATCGCGGTCGTCGTAACCATCGGGGCCGCCCTCGATGCGGCGGACCGGCTGGCCATCAGGTCCAGCAGCACCACCAGACAACTCGTTCATAAGTTGCTAAAAGGTGTTAGAATATATCTCACAGAAAAGGTACGAGGGTGAACATACCTCCATCTCTCGGTCGACAGCATCACCACCGCCAATAGCCCTGGGCCCTCGGCCGGCGGGGTTGAAGCCACCGTTGCGCCAATCGCTGCCTCTCTGGCGGTCAGGACAATCACGAGCCATATGCCCAGCGTTGCCACAGACGCGACAGATGATGTTGGCAGTAAAGTTGCGCTGCTCGGGACAGTCGTACTTGCGATGACCAATTTGACCACCTGTGCATGTTAGCGAGATTCAATTTAGGAAAAGAGAAAAGAGGAGTGTACTCACAGTTCTGGCAAGCCTGGTTCTCATCATCACGAAGGGTACCGTTGAGTGCAGCCAGTTCTCGAAGTTGGTTCCTCTTGAGCTCGTTCTGGCCTTCAGGAATAGAGGCAGCCTATTTCTGTTAGTCAATCTATCCTGGTATAGAGTATGGCATGCTTACAGTCTCAATAACGTTGTGCACCAGCTTCTTTGCTTTGTTAACCTTCTCCTCAGTGTCTGCCATGATCAAACAATGGAGATCTTCTTCCTGGTTGCTAGCGTGAGCGGCGTCAGATCGGCCCTTTCCTTCCTTGACGGAGCCTTTGCCACGGATAGCAATTTTTGCACCGGACTCGGTCTCCATCTTCTTCAAGGTGTTTCCACGAGGACCTATGAGTAAGCCAACTGTAAAAGGTAGCAAGAGCTAAGTGTTAGTTGGGTCTGTTTTTCTTTTATAGTTTCTTGATGATGAGAGCAACATTAAGCAGCAAAGCAAGGGTTAGCAAGAAGCGAGCCGAAAAAGCATCGCTGAAGAGCAGCGATGTCTTGATCGTGAGCTCGACTCGAGCAGAGAGTGAATGCAGAACGGTTAGGAGTTAGAGGGTTAGTTATCATACTGAAGTTAATCTCTGGATAGTCATTGACTGGCACATAGACCTTCTCCTGGGTCTTAGTAGGGCGCCTGTAGTCAGAGGGCGGGTGATAATTAGGAATGGTCTTCATCGCCTTTTCCACTAGTTTATGACGCTCATCCTCGAGGCGCTTGCGGTAGCGGTATTCCCTAGTGTTTACACGTCTTCCAAAGTTATCGTACTGCGGCGGGGGAGAAGGGGACCTATTTTGGCGAAAATTAGTATGGGAATAGGACTAAAAAGAGGGAGAAACCGACCTGTCGCCATCCGCGGGGACGACATCGTTGATCCTCAGCTTTTGACTAATCTCCTCAATACGCAAATGAAGAGTATACGCCTCGAGCTGTTCCGTGGTGAAGTTGGCCATGATCATGGTGGGCAAGCCCATCAGACCAGCGGCCTTGTTCTCCTGAGCATCGCCCCAGCGGTTGCGCTTCTTGCGTCGCTTCACGCCATCGACTGGAGGTTCAGCTGCAGATGACTTGTCAGAATAACCCAGAGTGAGAAGTGCGGAAAGAGGAAGACGTACCTCGGACAGGACTTCTACCACGATTGTCCCCGGGAGCGGACGCAGGAGTCGCGGTGCGACTGTCTTCCTCCTCACCACCGAACCGCCTCTTTCCCAGAGGGATGTTGTTCGATCCCGTAATACCTTGGTTGCGCCACGACATCTTCCTGTACTGGAGAAGATGATGGGTGTGAGTTGTTTGATAAGTGTACAAAGGATCGGGATGGTAAAGCAAAGAAATGTCGCGGAAGTGGCAAGGAGCCTGTCACGTGAGATCTAGTGTGCCTGACTCAGCATTTATGCCCGGGCAGATTGTAGGGCGGGGATGAGGGGATATCAGAAAGACTCTAGGTAAGTTACGCAATTACCTGAGTTCAAATTGGCTTCATTAAATACCTTGATACCAAGCTCACTGACTACAACTTAGTGCTTAATGGCCCGTCAGCAAGCCAGCCGCAGAATCGACACACGACACACGGCATACTAACTATTTGGCCGCATCACTCTTCATCCCCTCCTGCACCCAAGCCCTGGCCTTCGCAGCCTCCTCCTCAGACTTCTTCTTATCCTTCAGCAAATCCTTGATGGTATGCGGGCTAGGCACATGCCTGCCCTTCTCAACGCCCTCCCTGGCAGCCAGTTTCTCCTCCCAAGCCTTCAGGTGCGGGAACTCCTCGATATCAACGCCGGCCCACCCCGCAGCAGCAACCCACCCCCAGTGCGAGATATCAGCGATAGTGATATGGTCGCCGACAAGGTATCCCGACTTCGAAGACTCCAGGTGTTTATCGAGCACGCTGTAGAGGCGCCTCGTCTCGTTGACGTACCGGTTCACACCGTACTCGATGCGCTCGGGCGCGTATCGAGAAAAGTGGTTCGCTTGTCCCTGCATGGGGCCGACGCCCGCGTTCTGGAAGTACAGCCAGCTGATTGTCTCGTAGTACTCGCGGGTTCCTTTGGGGTAGGAGATCTTGAAGTCTTTGTCGTATTGCTCGGCGAGGTAGGTGAGGATGCTGCCCGATTCGAAGAGTCGGATCTTCTGGCCGTCTGTGAAGGTGTCTGTGAGGGCGGGGATGCGGCCATTGGGGTTTATTTCGAGGAACCAGCTGGTGCTTGTTAGTTTGGAGTATTGGTGGGAGGGATCGTAGGGGAGAAACATACGGCTCCTTCTGGACGTTCTTGCTAATGTCAATCTTTTCGACCTTGTATGGGAGGCTGTGGCATAGTTAGCATCAGCTTATATGCTCAGCATAAAGGTAAGTAAAGCAGACGTACCCCAATTCCTCCAGGGCAATAGAGATCTTGATCCCATTTGGAGTTTGGGCAGTGTACAGTGTGATATCAGGGCTAGACATGATGGAAGGTGTAGTAGAGAAGAGCCGACGGTACGGTAGAGATGATGTTGGAGGTAATGGGAATGACTGGGGTTGTTTGCAAAGATTGCGGAGACTGGAGCTGAAGCTGGACTGGAAGAAGCAGCCTTTATATAGCCTAAGAGCAGGCACTACCCCGCTCATTATCTTGACGAATTCAAGCTCTATTATTAATGGTGGTGGTGCAAGAATCGCCCAGTGCCGGGCATTTGTATGCACACGGGCCCGGTGATGATGACATTACTCCCTTCGGCCTCCGCAGCCCCACTGTCGGAGATGATTTCTAAGCTTCGACGGTGAGCTTCCATAACTATCCGATAAACCGTTGCGCCTACAGTAGGATGGCCTATTCAACCGCATAGCGCTGGAACGGGCGCATTTCGAACTGGATAGATAATCAGACATGGGTATGCCCTGGCCAACTCGCATGAGATTGGTAAGCCGAAAGAAAGCCGTAGACTGAAGAACGAAGCAGAACAGAAGAGAAGTCATGGACAAGACTGAAATTAGAATATCTACAACGAAAGTGTATGAGGTCGACTCTCATCTACCCCAGATGTGTCTGATAGATGAACTCCCAAGCGCCTAAGAAACCAGAATCTTCATGAACGAAACCGAAAAGTCTGATTTGAAACCTTTCATAGACTAGCCATTGATAGTCTTCGACTCCTTATCAACTTCCCCATAGCCGTATCTAGGTAGACAAACTACCACGTGAAACTCTCCTCGATGAAATCAATCTGTGTCTTGTCTTGTCGGCTTCGGCAGGCGCGGCGAACATCGTCACTCAGACTGCCATTGCCGCAAACCAACGCACCCAGAGCGCCAACCTGGTTCTCAACCTCCATGCCAATGAGTGTGTCAATGTTCGGTCGCCCAGGGAACATTTGCACCGTAGAGCTAGGACTCTGGATTTCCTTTGTGTTGCGCGGCCGCGTGATGAATAGCTGGATCCGCAGAACCTCCCGGCGGCGAGGCATGGCCAGAATGCTGGTCATCCAAGGCCTAATCCACTCTAGGTGCTCTGGGGACTGGATGATCCAGATAAGAGTAACGCGGCGTGCAGCCACAGTTCCGTCCGCATATCCCTTGACGAGATGGCGGCAGAAAGGCACCAAGTGCGTGATGCCGACGCCTCCAGCGAACAAAAGGACTGAACCGTACGAGTCCATCGAGTGGATGCTGCCGTATGGTCCCTCGGCGAAAGCTGTCAGGGAGACTCGGCAATCGACGGCGTTCACAGCGCGCTGGAAGAGCTTGTCGGTAAAGCCGGTTCGGCGGCGAACGAGCAATGAGACTGTTGTCGTTTGGGGGCCGTATGCATCCCGGCTGCTCACGGGGAGGCTCTTCTCGTCACTCATGGCGTCCTCCGTGTCGCTCCATCCAATCGAGAAGGGGTGGGACGTCCACCATCCGATCGCGGGGATGTACAGGTACATGTGCTGGCCGGGCTCGAACGTCCATGGACGCGACAGCTTGAGAGTGATTCGCATGGCGTCACCGGGCAGGGCCTCCACCACTGCAGTTGTAGTGCGTCCCCCAATGTTGCGGTACACGATAATTGCAAGACGTGCAAACCTTTCCAACGCCCAGAGAATAATCGCCGCAAGGAGGAAGTTCTGAGCATTTCGGCCATCCAAGTGGATCCAAAGGTAAGCAAACGAGAGGGCCGCAAAGGCAATATGGAGGTGGAGGAATGTCTCGTAAAAGGCGTGTCGGATCGCCGAGGGGGAGTGCACCAGAAGGGCAACAAAGGCACAGGTACCCTGAGAATGTCAGTAAGATCCGACTGGCAGGGAGGAACCAACTTACAATCAACCCACTGAGCAAAAACTCACTCTCTCCAAACAGCTGCCCGACACCACTCCAGCCCACTATTGATAATTAGCAATGACACAATACATAACCATCCAAGGCAAAACATACTCTTTTGAGCTTTTGGGATAGCCCAGGCAAAGGTATGAGCAAGCGCTTGGCAGATTACAATCCTAGCGAGCCAGCGGTGGATCAGGTTGAACGTGTCGTAAGGCACCTGAAGCAGCGTAATAAGAGGGTTGTTGCGGCCCGCCAAAAGAATGAGCGGGATCAAGTTGACAGTTGCCATGATGCCTGTACGGCTGAGGATGATGCCCGACACGGACTCTGGTTCTGATTTGTAGGGCACAGTGACAAAGCAGAGGGTGATGTTCATGGCAATAATGCCAACAATAATGAACGTGTGGAAACGGCTGGGCAATGTGCCCATGTTAACAGCACGCGACAGCTGGAACTCCCTGTTGTGCCGGTTCCGGAAGAGCGGAGCGTAGACAATGTGCTTCTTGATCCTAGCAAGGGTCTTGTGGGCCGGCACAAAATAGTTCTGGCGCTCGTTGCTGAAGCTTGCCAGCCGCCGCATGTGGGCGGCGATGCGAAACCACATCTTCCAGATATACATGGATGCTGCGAAGCAGCCAAGGGCCAGCAAGGAGTACCGAGCGTAATCATCATTCAGCATCCCCCAGAACGGGTTCTCATCGCCATGACGGCGTTCGAGATCTGCTGCTAAAGAGTGTCCGACCAGGGACATGAAAAGAAGTGTAGAAGCCATGGTTGTCGACCGAGATATCAAATGGGAGTTCTTATGGCAAAACAACAGACACGGGTTGAGGATGAGGCGGAAGAGACCAGCTCTGAACAGCGAAATATCCCCAAGAGAGCGTAACTATCCAAGCAAGAGTATTCACCAGCCAACACAGCAGACGTCACTGCAGTTGTAAAGAGCGAACGGAGGAGATAGTAGAAAGGGATAACAATGCGGTTGTGAGTGAACGTGCAGGTCACAAAGAGACCGAGACCATGGATCTGAGACCGAACCAGAAACCAAGCAGTTGTATTGTAATTCAGACCGAGGGTAGTTGTAGGTCTGAAGTTTTCCTCTCCTTTCTGGTGGACTCCTCTTTACAAGGTTCCTCTATCGACCTCCTGAATAGCGATCGTCGGTGTTGATGGGCAACAAAAAGAATGTGGGCAAAAGGGCAGCAGTGAACCAGTCACTCCAGGCTTCAGAACTGAATAATTCGTCAATGACGGCCAGACGCAGAGAGGAAAAAAAGGGAGAGAGAAAAATCGAGGCCAAGCTGCCAGTGATAGATTGCATATAATAACTGACGAGGCGAAGCTGGGCCCTGCTTGACGGTCTTGACCCCTCGATCCAGCCGCCAGTCGCGGAGACCCACGATATGGTGCGACTTGGCGGCAATCTACCACGGCCATCTGAGTGGTAGCGAAGACCTGTCCAGATTAACTCTGGAGAACGCCGAGCAGCAAATCATGGCAGCGAGCATTATTGGATCCGCAGTTTGTAGGCGAGATGCAGGAGTTGAGTGGCTGGACGATGAAACAGCTTGGCGGAGCGCTGGCCACTCGGGACGGCCGACCTGGACTGTGCCTGACGCTCAACAGGAACTGACACTCACAGTTGATATGACAGATCCTGCTTCTCAAGTTCAAGTTTCAAATCTTGCTCGTCATGTCGTAATCATTCCTGCAGGCGTTTGCTCAGAGGTGGCACGGTTGGCCTCAATTTCAAGCATGATAGCGAACAAAGGCAGGATTCTATTCCTGTCCCACGATAAAACAACCGGCCGAGTCAGGCTTCATCTACTGCCAACACCGGACCAGGCTCCATCAGAGTATATTAATATGCCACTCGGGAAATATATTAACTACGGGTCGGCAGCGGGCAGCTGCCCAAGGAGTCGAGCCTTGACGATTCTCCGAGATAAAAGCATGTGGCGGTTTGACTTTGCACTTCTCAAACACCCACTACTGCGGGTGACATGCGAACTCCATCACATTATTTGCTGCGCCAGAGGCGGCGAAGCGTAACGCCGTGGCCTGAAGGTATCAGCGATCGAGACTCGAGAATCAGAGACTTCATAGATTAAACAGCAAACAGGACTACTCCGTACATGGGGAAGTAAACAAATCCAACCAATAATAAACAGCAAAGTAATGATGAAATCCCAGGGTATCACGCAGAACCAGACCGAATCCTTCCAAGACTCCTCCAAAGCAAGCAATAAACTAAATCCAAAGTGCAACAGATAAACAAACTGGCCAAGCGCCTAGAGAAAGCTAAGCTCATCGTCGCTGTCGTCTTCCGAACATGGGATTGTCGTCCTCAGACTCGTTCGCGTAAACCGCGCTGGAGCTGACTGCCTTCTCCGGAAAAGCCTAGGGCTTTTCCTGGGTATAATAGTTGAATAACGGGCGCGGCGCTTCATTGGCCGAATATGATTTCTAGATGTCGCAATGTGATCTGATGACGGGCTCTTGTTGACAACGACGACCTCCAATGCTGGACAGCCTGGAACTGGCCCCGCGGGGACGTTTCTCGCCATTGAATTCCCCTGACCCACCGAATTCTTTTGCAACGCGCCCCTGAGCCCGGTCCTCGTCCGGGCGGCTACTGGAACGTGCGTTGTGACAGATGAAGCTTGATATGACGAAGAGTCGAGTCTGTTGGCCGAATCGCCATCTTCACCCACTACTCGCTCCACAGATCGCGTGTTGTAAGTCTTCTTGAACGGCCGGGGGCTTGAACCTTGATTTGCACTTGGCCTTTTTCTTGAGACGGATGGCGATGATGATGTAACACTCGAAATGCTCTTCTCCGGGCTCGATTCCGCGGCCGAAATATTCGTCGAGCGTGCACTAAGTCGCGGCCGCCCTCTCCTTCTCACTTGAGGCTCCACGACGGGAACGCTCACTGGCTTTTCCGATGACGAAGTTGTGTTACTTGAGACGCTCTTTTCCGAGAAAACTGAGCTCGCGCGGGAGCCATTCGTCAAAGGTGCAGTGCGCCGCGGTCGCCCTCTCCTCCTCATCTGTGGCTTTGCGGCAAGAGCGAAGGTTGATTCCTCATAATCATCACTTGAGACGCTTTCCTCCGAACTCATCGAGCTCGCGCGGGAACTACTCGCCGAGCGTGCAACAAGTCGCGGTCGTCCTCTTCTTCTCACTCGCGGCTTTGTGGCAGCAGGCACCTGCGGTTGAGGGGATGGCGCAGACGATGTCACACTTGAAACGTTCTCCTCCGAGCAAATAGAGCTGGCCGAGGAACTATCTGTCGAGCAAGCAATCACCCGTGGTCGACCCCGCTTCCTAACTTGAGCCCTTGCGGGAACAGCAGTGGTGACAGCTCGGGATCGGGCCGCTGGAGTCCTTGCCACCCACTCGCCAATGCTATCTTCCCACCTATATAAGCTTGCGTATAATTGGCTAGAGGAGGGCGACTGTTGAGAGGCTTCGCCCTCTTGAGACGAAGCAACCGTCTCTTGGATTTCAACGGCCCAAGTGTGGTCATCGGGATCCAGGCTCCTCTCCGCCAGTTCCATGGCGGTCTCTGTAGCGACCTTGCCCAACAGCAGAGCAACCCCTGTGGCGCTGGTCAACTGAGCAAGCTGCGAGACCTTAGCTCGGATTTCCCTAGGAGTACGGGCAGGGCCTTGTTCCTGTGTGTGTCCAGAAAGGTGAAACACCTGCGACACAAGTCTTGCCAGCTCCTTGACCACTTCTTGCCGTGGGGCTAGCGCCTTGAAGAATGACTCGATATTGCGTCTCGAAACATATTCAGAGTGATATATGATATCAGGAGTTACGCTCTTGCCGCAGTGTAGTGTGCAATCTGCCAACAGCGCATAGCTACGTCGTAAAGGGTGGAATGTAGGTTGTTCCAAGTCGACGGCCACCGGCTCATTGCCAATCGCTCGTTGAACGGTAAACGCCAGGTCACTGACCATCTCTCGCGTTTTCAACCCTGCAGAATTCTCAACAGAATCAGGCACCTGTGACCGTGCGATGCACATTCCACAGAGAGCCGTGAAGAGGCTAGAAATGAGATTGCTGAGTGCATCTTGGATAGGAATAGGACAGGAACTTGAGACTCCTGTCGTTCCGGCTGTGCGAGTCTCTCGAGGTCGCACTGGGCGGAGCGCTTGGTTGTGGTCCCCCTTTGCCTCCCTTGACCCCGTTGCCGAATAGATGCCGGCCGACGAGAGAATCACAGCCTCAATCAATTGCCTCGCAGCAGCGTAGCCGCGATCTTCGGTTGATACCGACTTGATTGCTTTGTCCACGCATTTCTTCCATAATGTGGTGACCATCCATTCGGGCGGAATGGCGCCACGCGTTAGGAGTCTAGTCAGCTGTTGAAAGACATAAACATGTCGGGTCGGATGTCGTAGATAATAAAGCCCCAGTAAGCGAATGGAGTCTCGCTGGCCGGGTGGTCGTGGAGGATCGAATGCGGACGGGTGATGGTACGTATCGATACTTGCGAGCAGTTTTGTTTCCAAGGCTTCGAAAGCGTCTAGCTCTTGATGCTTCAAACACTCTTCAAGCAATCGACAGGCCGCGATCGATGTTATCCATCGGTTCTCTATCATGCCTGAAACTAGATAGATCCCTTGTGCACGCACAGCTTCTCGAAGTGGTTGCCACCCAAGCTCACCGGGTGCATAAGAGGCCTCCAACTCAGTGAAATACGCGTCGCACATATCCACATCACAGTCCTCATCTAACTCATCCTGTATCCGCTGTTCATTGGCGATGAATTCCGGGAGGCGACGCACAGCCATCGACAATAACGATCGAGCTCCTCGCTGAGCACCGTCAACTTGCGGCGCAACCCGGGTATTCCCCAAAAACTTCAAAAAGATGCGATCCAATAAATGTGCAATATCCACAAGCCCTGGATCTCCAGATTGATCCAAAACCTCCTTCCATGACCCTTGATATGGCCGGAAAGCAGAATGATTCGTTCGTCCAGTTTTTCGATGCTCCGCCGAACTTCCCACGCCATTGTCCGCCAGATGGTTCTGAAAAAGCTGCATCCTTAGCGATGGCGAAGCCTCCACCAAGGGACTGCCGCGAAGTTTCCCCGTAATCAACGGCGTCGCGATTTCAATTGCTCCAGGAAGCGTCTTCGGTACCTCGGGACTTCGAATCAACAGTCGACTGCGCCTCCGCGGCCCTGCCGCTGCCCCTCGTCCCCGGCTGGAATAATTATGTCTTATCCTCCGCTTGTCCATGGGCTTCCCGGGTATCCATGCGGGATCATTCGGTTCTTCGTCGTCGTCCGGGTAACTGCATCCGCGCTCGGTCCCTTGAGTTTTGGTCGGCAGACGCGTCCGTTGTTCGACATCAGGCACGGCATCGGTCCTCTCCTTCGCTTTAGAAATCAGTACACTTGTGACGATTTCATGATGCTTTTCTAATCGATGGTATATAGACGTCAATGGGCGCAACATGCGATTTGCCCATTTTGCGGTCGGTCGGATGTCCTCCATGTTGCGCCGGTATGTCGATGTTTCGTAATATCTTCGCGTGTTAACATTGAATAGCAGGTTATGTCGTGTAAAGTAAGCTGTTCATGCCTATCTCTGAAACTCATAAACCGTCCATCTCATGCTTCAATTGCGCTTGCGACAGGCCCCTAGTATATGCGGGATACCTAGAATCACCAACTTCAAAAACGCAGACAGGGCGATAAAAAGACCAAAATAACCTCTGCACAAGATACAATGCAGTCAAGAAGCCAATATTGGCATAAGATACATGTGAAGGAAGAGGTGAGGGGGAAGAACAAAGAGAGGCCGAAAATGTAAACATGGACGGGAGGATAAGAGGCGTCGGAAACGGCATCGCGGCTGATGACTCAGCTAGGTACCTCAGCAAATCGACATCATACCAGTAACTGTCCATTTACCAAGTCCGGACTTTTGAAATGCTATGTATGCAGATTGTAGGTCATCAATGCATGAGTTAGTTGTAGTCATATATAATATACAGAAGCAGAACACCAGTATAGCACGCAAATCGCCCGTCCTTGCCTGCTATGCACTGCCCACAATGAACAATCCATGCCGAATAAAACCCAAAACCAGATAGAAAGAGTAGAGATTTCTACAAGATATGGAAACAGGTCAAATAGAAATATATCCAAGAATTCCGCTCACCCAACGCATGAGCCGATAAAAACAATGGGCTGGAGAAAAGTATGTGGCCGTCAAGATGGGAGGTTTTAAAACCAACAATTTTGTTTTACCCGAACAGAATATGAAATTAAGCGGAGGATTTCTTTCCACGAAGCTTAGGGTTGCTGGCGGCAGCACGCTTCTTCTGCTTGGTCCTCGATGAAGAGTTGGTGTCCCCGCCTTCGATGAACTTCAACAGCTCATCGATGTTCCTCGAGTCCATGCCAGATCTAGAGGCCTGGCTAGGGGCAGAGACGTCCGCTGCAGACTGGCCAACCTGAGGTTGGATTTGTGTGCCAAGTGTCCGGGTGCCCATGTTGATACGACGCAGGCGGCGGGCCTGAATGTCTTTAGCGTGCTTAGCGATGGAGACAGCGTTCTGTGTGAGCTGCTCAAGCCAGGTCTCTGCCTCCTTGGTGTTGCGGTCCTCGGGACCGAGCTGGCTGAGGAAGATGTTGTACGCATCGCGCATTTTGCCAACAGCAGCCTTGGAGTCTTGGTCAAGGGCCAACGCTTGGGCGAGCTGGAACAGGATCGTCGCGGTGTTGATGGACTGCTTTCCAAAGAGGGACTCACAGACCGACAGGGAAGCCTCGAACCATTTTCTAGAGTCGGTGTACTGCTTCAAGTGCTGGAGCATCACCGCAGCGTTGTTCATGGTGGTGATGGAATCAGGGTGGTTGGCACCGAAGATGATCTTCCACAGGTCCATGGCGTGCTTGATGTACGCAAGCGCAACCTTGGTGTTTCCGGAAGCGTGCTCGAAGAGACTGAGGTTGAGGTAGCTCAAGATGGTGTCGGCGGAGTCCACACCAAGAGTGCGTTCGGTGACAATGACTGCCTTGCGAGCCAGCTCAACAGCGGCGTCCTTCTCGTCCGTTTGGTAGTAGAGCATAGACAGCTGGTGGTACAGCTTGGCAACCTCGGGGTGGAGGATACCGTAGATCTGCTCATGCAGAGACAGGGACTCGAGGATGAGTTCCTGGCCAAGCTGCTTCTGGTTCTGCATGAGGGAGATGCGTCCAGCTTCCAAAGCCTCCTCGGCAAGCGAGCTCCGTGGAGAGGCATCCTTGACCAATGGGACGATGTTGACAATGTCGTCGGGGGTAAAAGTGACAGTCGCCTTCTCGACAGCAGCGGCACGAGCCGGGGAGCCAGAGTCGCCGTTCTTGTTCTTCTTCTTCCCCTTCTTGCTGCCCTCGTCCTGTCCAGCGCCGTTAACACCGTTGGTAACAGGCAGGAGCTTCTTAAGACCCTCAGCCTGTGCCTTGGTAAAAGCAAAGTCACGAGCACCAAGCTGGAGACCAAGCTTGACAGCGACATCACGAAGCAGCTGCAAGTGGCGCAAAGAGTTAAACCACTGGGACTCCAAAGTGAAGCGGTACCTCAGGGTAACCTGCTTCTCGATCTCTGCCCGGAGAGCTTCGGGAGAGATCTTCTCGAAAGAGAAGTCGCCCTCGGGGTAAATCTCGCGGAGAGAAGAATCGATCTCAGCACGGGGTGCCGCATTGACATCAGCACCGAGGAGACAGTTCAGAAGGTGGGCAACGCAAGAAGCAGTAAATGGCGCAGGAACATTGCGAAGGTGCTTGTTGGCGATGTGCTTGAAGGCACGCGCAACCATCTCCTGGACCAACAGAGTGGAGAGCGCCTCGAGGCGAGAACCCTTCTCCTTGGCCAAGTTGGCCAACTTACCCAGGTAGCGAATGTTGATACCACGCTTGTGCAACAGCTGGCTAAGAGACTGGCCGTCCATAGGGAAGCCCACGTCACCATCGTGCAGGTCCTGGATCAACTCTGGCATAACCTTAGACCGCAGGAAGTCGCAGGCATCACGGACCTCCTTCTCGTCCTGAGCCCACTGCTGCTTCTCCTCATCGGTTTGAGGAACCTGGCCGCTGAAAACGTCAGGGTTGAGTGCAAGGGAGAATCCAGAGATGTCGACACGCTCCTGATCCAGAGCCTCCTCGGACTTCTCTTCAGATCCCTCTTCCTTACCCTCCTCCTTGGACTCGGTAGCTTCAGAAGACTTTTCCTTCTCAGAAGCCTCCTCAGCCTTGGCGCTACGACGGCGCTCGACTTCGGTCTTGACATACTGGCTCATCTTGGCCCTCCAGTAAGACTCAACCAACTCCAATCGCAGAACCGACATGCGGTGAGGGTAGGCATCGCTGCCCTCTTCCTCGTTCCATTCCACATCGAGCGGAGTGACGCGGTAAAGATCAAGAACGTACTTGCGGCCGTCCGTACCGAGAAGACCCTTTGTCTCCACACTGCCCTCCAGATCGTGGCGCTGGTTATCCTTGTCCCACACGGCGTGCTTCTTGATCCTGAGAGCCTTGGAAAGCTTCTCAAAGACAGAGACAAAATCGGGGTGGGTAGCGACGACATCCTTGCCCTCAACACCGCCGTAGTCGATTTGATGCTCGCCTGGTTCGCGCTGCTTGAAGATACCAGGAACGATACTCTGTCCCACAATGCGCTTGCCCATGTAGTCAACCACGATGGTTCCAGGGGTGAACAGGCCGTTGATGTCAAGCTGGTTGACAGCCTTGATGCCCAGAACATCCTTGCCGACGGCCACACGCGCAGCTTCATCGCCGCCTTCGGAGGCAAATGTACCAACGCCATCAGCACCGAAGGAGTAGAAGATGTTGTTGTACACGAAGATCTGGGCGTCCTGGGCTTCGGTGGGGTTGAGAGGAGCAACTTCTCCCCGCGCAACTAGGACAGCGCCGCGGGCAGCAGCCTCGTTGTAATCAGCAAAGAGTTTGGATGTGAGTCGCTCGCGGAAGACACGGTCTTGAACAGTCTCGCGGGGCAGTTCCTTGGTGGTTTGAAACTCTTCATTCCAGTCTCGCAATGTCTCAGCGTTGTCAACACCAGAAATGAGATAGTTTTCCTGAGACCGTGTGATATCGGGCTGGTGAGCGTTGACGTTGGAAGTCGGAGGCGCGACGAGCCATGGGCTGCAAGGAATAGAGTTCTGGAAGGGGAACGTAGTCAAGAGGTCCTTCTCGTTGTTCGATTCCTGCAGTTCCTTAAAAGCGGATTCGAATGAAGGAGAGAGCTGGGAGATCAAGTTGAGAAGCGAATGCGCGCTGCCCTTCTTAGGGACGGTCTTGGGGAAGGGGTCGAACTTGCTGTTAGAGCACTTGTTGACGAAGAATCCAGAAACGTGGGAGGTGACCTGGAACTGCTCCCCCTCGTTGGTAGTCACCTGGAGGTAGAGCAAGTGTCCCTTCTGGCGGAGGTGATAAGGCGGCGGGTTCCAAGGAGATAGGGAGATGGACTTGACAGTCTTGGGGGCGGGTGCTTCCGACCTGGGAAGAATGGTCTTCAGTGAAGAAGAACCAGAGATCTCATACTTGGCGAGCGAGTGCTCCTTTTCTGATTTCTCACCGCCAACCTGAGCAGCAATTGAGTCATGCAGGGACAGACCAGCATTGACACCGTTGAGGGTGTCGACCCGATCTCCGGCAGCTCCAAGCAACTCCCGCAGGCGAACAACGTGCATACGGGCATCCTTCTCAGTGTAAGGATCCTCCACCAGGACGATCTCAGAGTCGGCCTGCAGACCGGGAACCTCGGACAGCTCGACAAAATCGTTGATGCGGTCTCCGTTGAACTCGAGATGGAAGCAGGTGTATTGGAATGTGCCGGGCAGCTCGACGATGGATTGACGGACATCCTGGACTTGTTCTTGGCTGGAAACCTAAGACGAGATATGTGTTAGAGAAGTTCACGCGTCCACTTGCCCATTGCGTAATACGCACCATCACCTGGATCTTGTAGGGTTCATGAGGAAGCTTCACAGAGATCTGGAAGAGGCCTTTAAAAATCATCTGTCAGACATATTTGCAGGCTGATAATGGACAAAATCAAAGGTAAGCGTACCGCCAGCGCCATCGTCCTCCTGGACACCCTCCTGGTCATTTCCGTTGGTGAATTGCTCTGGAGATTCTGCTAATAGATGAGCTTGATGTTCCCTGTCTCCCATTGGCAACAAACCTTTTGAGTGCTCCATCTCACCATTGGTCTGTGCCATGTTTAATGATTATTGAAGCCGAAGCTTGAGCTCAGGTTCGAGGACAAGAACAATTGAGGCTGTCGGTGACCGTGTGGGTAAAGCTCCGGAGAACGGAGAAACGAAAAAAAATTCGATGAAGTATAGCGAGAACGATGTGTATAGAATAAGGGGGATTAAAAGAATAATATACAGAGGAGAAGGGCAATTGAGTCAAGCAACCACCCTGTATCCAAGCAAATGCATCAAACAAACCCCAGAGTATGAAGAAGTGAAGACAGCGAAAGCCGGATTGACGCTGGAGAGAAAATTTCGCGGATGCGGTCCCGGGCCTCCCTCGGAAGTCCTCGGGGCGGTGGAATCTGTCCCCACAAAACGTCCCATAGCATCATGTTGCGCCAGTAGTTTTTATTCTTCTACATCTCGTTCGACATCGAACGAAACCGACCGATGTCCTGTGGAACTGTATTCGCTGGCGTTGAGCATGGGGTTACGCTTTTGCCTACACGCTTATCCCGCGACAATGACATACAATACTGTGGGCATAGTTCGGATTCGGCGGAGCTCAATCGCGGCTGCCATTCCGTACAGAAGTTTGAAGTACAACGTGGTTTCACTGTTTTGCATAAAAAAACTAGCTGATCGATTTTGTTAAGGTCTCCTGGAGGTCTAGCCACGGAAACACCCATGTCCAAATGATGGCCAAGATCAGACGCTCTTGAAGTCAGTATTTGCAGCTCCTGCTCAACGGCCCTGCATACCTGCCACCTGATCAAATACTCTCATCTCTTAGAACGAGCCCGATTGTTCACCTAGAGTTACCCATATGGCATATACCGCGCCATATCAGAAGCTGTCTCGTCGGCTGTATCCACTTTGGCGCGAGGAGACGCTGGCACCAGTCAGTTACCGCAATTTGGAACCTTGAGGATGTCTTACTTTTTACGAGACCGCCAACGAGCTCGCGAGCCAACAGTATCCTCCATGTACCGACACATCCATCCGGTTAATCAACGAGTTCGACAACAAAAGGCTCGATCTTCGGCGTCTTGTCGTCCTCCTCTTTGATAATTGGCTTGACATCCTTGTGCAAATCCTTATCTTCGTCATTGTCATCATCGATGAAACAATACGGTCTTTTGGCTCGTTCGATGGGAGTGTCTTTGCATGCAGACTGCTTGGATTTTCTGGGAGTGCCACCCTGGGCTTGAACACGAGCTCTTCCAACGCTATTTGCAGGGATACCGGCTTCTCTGCGGAGCTTGCATATCTGTTGCCTTAGGGCAGCAACAGAAAATCCTACTATAGTCAGTAAGGTCCTTTGGTGATTGCCAATAACAGAGCCAGACCATCCCCCATATGTGCAGCCAGAGTTGGATAATCAACGCGATCAACCTGCGCTAGAATGCCGACAAGCAGCTTTGAAAGGTCAACAGTGGTCAAAGGACGGGATACTGGACCTAACACATACCTTGCGTTCGGCTTCGCTGTTCCACGTTTTGGGCATGTTTGTGATGGGTTCGGTCTACCGAGGTAGGTGAGGAACCGAGTAGAGGTGCGTAGAGTTAAGAGAAACAAATGCGTGAGGAAAGAGTGGATGGACAAAGGGATGAGGAAGAGAGAGGAGAGAGATGGGCAGAAAATGTTATTGTAGAACAATATGCTCGCCTACTGCTGGTTGTCTAAGCAATGTGTTAATGGGTACCTACTAGGTAGACCCTAAACAACTTCTCGGTACCTGTTCTACTAGCCACTCTGCATGGCCACGGTCCTCAGCGTGGATTCTAGGACAGGCATGGATTATCTGCTGGCTTAGGTGGTAGAATGTGTTGCATGATTTAAGCATGACTTGGGGAAGTTCTATATTTCCCCATAGAATAGTACCCTACGTGTCTCTCATTGAATGGTTCTAATTTCTTATCTGTAGGTAAAGTTCCATATTCCAATATTTTGTACCAGATCTTGTGCAGACCTTAATAAGGCGGCCGCCTCCAGCATGGATGCCAACTCATCGTTTTTTCCTCCACACCACTCTCTCAATATGGCTTACAGCAATACAATACCTGCCGACAGCTAAGAAGTCAAAGCTGAGTAACAGCTAACAATTCAGAGTCCCCCGCCACAGCGTCAGCCTCAGCTAATCCCTGATCGAAGACAAGTTCGCCGCCAAGCAACCGGATCTGCAGTGTGTCTCCATCGATCTTGAGGCGCAGCACGACCAGAACGCCATCGATTTGGCTCCATTCTGCGACACCAAACAACATCATCGGTTCCATTCTTTCTTTTTGACTTCATTTCTCTTATCCTCCGCTTTGTTTTAATTTCCCCGTTTTTCTTCTTCTCTTATATCCACTCTCCACACTCTTTTAGATATTTTTTGTGAGAATTCTTGCAGGTCAGGTACCGTCGATTTCTGAAGCTTGCACCCCTGGGCTGCTCCAATTGCGTCCAGTCGCCGCTTGGTCCTTCTATACCAGCTGCCAGAACTTCAGCTTCAAGCACGACCACTCTGGTCTACACCGCCATTCTTTGCTGTCGACCTTACTTTCATTAATCCAATTTCATCCAATCTCTGCCTCTTTCTTATTCTTTTTCCCTTCTCAAGCAGCCCAAGGATGCTTTCTCGCTCCGTTAAGTTGTCCTTAGTCTCTTCAACTCGACCGCGGCCATGGCTACCATTAAGGCGGCCGGGGAGGGTGCTGGCCATGTACTCTGGCCAAAGTTTCTCCCAAAACTCCCTTCCTTCAGCTCCCGATCCTCAGGACCAAGTAAATCAGCAAGACGATGGGAAAGGCAGAGGCAATGACCAGGACCCCAATCTCAGATCAACAATACTGAAGATGATGGAGGCGGCCGCAACTACGTTTGCATCAATTGCTGTTCTAGGGTACATCCGCTCCTAAATTGGGCTGTATTCGGTTTTTTACTGACCAATAATAGTATTGCTGGTTTCTCATACCATAAGTACTACAAGTATCTCATTCTGCAGAAGATGGAGAACGCATTTGAGCCAGGCGACCCTGCTCTCGAGGTTGCTGGGGTGGATACGAAACACCAGTATCACCATGAGGAGCATTGGATGGTCCGAGACGAGCAACCGAGAATTGACCAGATTATCAAGGGCCAAATTCCGGGCCACTATTTCTTGCTGATCGGTGAGAAAGGCACCGGGAAGACATCCATGCTTCTGGAGGCAATGCGCAAGATCAACGGAGACGGGTGCGCAATCTTCGATGCTCATGGTGATCAAGAGATTTTCCGGATTCGACTTGGAAAAGCACTAGACTTTGAATTCCACGAGGAGTACGTCAGTTTGAACCCAACCTGAGCTCTGTATTAACAGATCCTCGCAGCTATATCGGCAGTCTTTTCAGCATCAAAGGACCTAGGGACACCACCGCTCTCTTGGACATAGAGCGTGCCTTCAACAAGCTGGAAAAGGTGGCAATGAAAAGGAGGAATAGGGGTAAAGCTCCGCTTGTATTGATCATCAACAGCACACACATGGTCAGAGACGATTCCGAAGGCCAAGACCTCCTCGAAATGATCCAACAAAGAGCCGAACAGTGGGCAGCCAGTAACCTTGTTACGACGGGTACGTATTGATAACATTTCGACCATGGAGTGAACTGACGGAAGCAGTCTTCAACAGCGATGACTACTGGGTCTATGAGAGGCTGAAGCGATACGCAACTAGGATGGAAACTATTCCTGTGGTCGATCTCCCTAAAGGAAAGGCCATGGCCGCATTGAGGAAATACCGCAAAGACTCTTTCAACGAGCACCTATCCGATGAAGTCCTTAAAGAAGTATACGACAAGGTTGGAGGTCGCCTATCTTACCTTAGTAGAGTCGCAAAGGCTCCAGATTTCATGAAGCTGTGCGACAGTATCTGCGAAGCTGAAAAGACATGGTTTCTCAACAAATGCTGGATTCTTGGCGAAGAGATGGATGACGATGTCATGGACCAGCAGAAGTATGCTGTAAGTATTTGCTGATTAACGTTTGATTTCTTTTTTTTCTAACGCGAAACAGTCGGCAGCTATGGTAATGGCCAAGGCGTTGGTAGACAAAGAGAAATCAATGGAGAAGACCTATGATGACGAGCACGGGCACATACTACCGGAAATACCACTCCACGAGGCACGACAGATTATGACTCGGGCCGACTTTATCCAAAGCTACGATCACGAAAATGTCTTCACCATCAACTCGCGTGCGATGGTTCGAGCCGACTCTGTACCTATGCAGCTTGCGTTCCGCGATGTCTGCAAACAGCCAGGATTTGAGGAGCACTTGGAAGCTACCCTTGATCGTATCAGTGCTATCGAGAGCTTGGGACGTACTCGAGAATTAACCATCAAGGATCTCTGGGATCAAGGGAAGTACCAGATAGCGATGCGGGATACCAAGGGTCGAGAGCAGGGGACTTTGGAATTCTTCACTAAACCAGTGGAGAAGGAGGACGACTGAGATGCTTGTGAGAAAGATATCAAGTGGAATGTTTATGATTTATTTGATAGACCGGTGGCCTGGTGTTATATACCCCGGTGATTGTATTTATAGACGAATGTTATCCTAGCTATTGTTTAGTGTGTTTACATCCTATGAGTACTACATGAACACATGGAAGAAATACTCATGCGTAGCTTGTGCTAGCAATGCTCGGTAGGAGCTGAAATAGCGCACTATATATTCGTTTGTAAGGGTCACGAACACACTGCGCAAGACAAGCTCAGGCCGGGGCTGGATTAGGTAAGGGGTTACAAGTCTTTGTCCAATGACCGAAGGGGATATTTCTGACAGGATCTTTACCATGGAAGCCAGCCACCATCTCGATCTCTGATCTTGATTGTTCAGGTCATGGCCCGTGACGTTGGTGACATCATCGATGATCACCGCCCTCCCACCACCAGAATATCTCCTCCTTCCACTTCAATTCTTCTCTTCAGCGTTTCCAAACCTTGAGTCTTCACGATTACAAGCTGCTACTGCCCGCATACTATTACGAAATGGTGACTCCTCGCAAGAAAGAGGTCGCTGCGTCCTCTAGTCCGAAAAAGTCTTATGCCGAAGTCGCAAAAGCTCCCCCTACCCCTCGAAAGTCAGCAATCGAGCGCATTCCATCAGTGGCCCGCTTCTTCCTGGTAATTATCAGTAGCCTAGCGCTCAGCTCAACTCTGTTTACTCTCACGTCTGCGATTACCCTCGGCGAGCTCGGTCGCGTCAGTAGACATCTCGAGGAATGGTGGGAAGTCGGCGGTTTGATGGCATGGAAAGCCGTGGAAGTCGCGCTAGCTTGGACATTGGGATTTGATGGTAAGCAGCCTTCTCGATTATATCGGTGCTTGACTGACGTGTTATCAGGACGCGACGTTCTACACTTCTCGCTACTGATGCATTTGCCGACATATGCTCTGCTTTCATCATTCTATGGCCTTCGTCCGACGACCGTCCTCGTATCCTACGCGATCGTGGTCTTTTCCACTGCCGTACCCTTTGCCTTCTTGCGCAACCCCAATTTCGTCCACAATCTCACCCGCGCGCCCTTTACTGCTGTTTCCAACAGGGGCATTCTTCAAGACTGGGCAATCACCACCTACACGACCGTCCTCGCCACCGCCATCTACACCGTCACCTTGTACCTCAGCTACGAGACCTATCTTCCCGCGAAACTAGTCGTGCACTTTGAAAGGCTTCCCAACATCTCCCGAGTCCACGCTGGCCCTGCCGGCTTGCCTATTCTTTTCCTCTCTCTCGTCCCGGCGGGCTTTGCAGCAAGGGACTTCCTCTTTGTCAGCTCCACAGGCACTCCAGCCGTGCAAGATACTGAAAGTGAGGAAGGAAAGTCCGCCCAAGATACTGAAGGCGAGGAAGGAAAGTCCGTGCTTCCGAAGCAGGGAGAGTACCTTGCCTCGGCCATCTATCGAAACACCTGGGGCGCGCTTTCCCGGCGAACTAGGGTTCTCGGCTCCCGGACGCTGATTCTGGCCGCTGCTCAAATGATCAACACCGTCCTTCAAGTTGCAGGAACGGTCAGCGGTGCTAGCTTCGAAGGGGCTTGGGCTTGGGGATCTGTTTGGACATTGGCTACTCTGGTCGTGGGGCTGGTGTATGGCTGGATCGAGGCTGTTGATGGTTTTTAGTGGGAATTGTCTGCACTTCTTCTCTGCTATTTCGTTCTTCTATCTTCGACTTTTTCTTTATTTTCTCGGTTCTATGATTTTGTTCCCGCGTTAGCCTTGGCGAAGGGATGGTGCAAAATGAAGCTATGGGAGGGTTAATACGGAGTCTGGTTCCCTAATCTTGTTGTATCGTAATTAATTTCGGGGCTTTACTGTTTTTGCACTTTGATGAGTGTATGAAGCTAGGTTGCAATATCTTGTTATTATCCTTCTTCAAGTCCAACTCTACTTTCTATTCTTCAAAATAGTGTATAAAAGACCGGACACGGGATTTCTCTAGTTGACCATGGTCAACCAAAGACGCATGCATGAAAAAGCGCTGGGAACAAGATAGCAAAATCGCAAGAGAATAGACCTTTAAAAAGCAAGAATGGCCGTATCAAGCTCAGCCTCGGTACCGGAGCTCCGTCAAACTCCCTTCCTCACTCCCCTTCCTTGCATCCCCAGCCCCAGGCAAGAACCAGCCCGGGTGGATAACATTGAAGATGGCAACAGCCAGGACCATCATCGCGCCATCAAGCGCAATAAAAAACCTCTCCGTCGTAATCAGATACCCGCTCCACCCCTCCAGCAACTCAATGGTTCGATAGATACTCCGGACATAGATACACAGAACGGAGAAGATCATGGCCGCAAGCAGCGGCACAATCGTCTTGGTGTACGACTGCAGGAGGCGGCGGCGCAATGTCCGGCGGACAAAGTCCGCGGCACAGAGGACGAAGACCGTGATCGAGGCCATTTGGAAGATGATGCCTGCAACCATAATGTTTGTGCCGGGGGTTGTGTTGCCGTTTTCCTGGGCTGCTGCGACGGATGCCATGCCGCCGCCGATGGCTTGCACGACAAGCGAGATGACGTCGCAGGTTACGAAGATTATTAGGTAGACTCGCGGGCTGAGGACTGAGGAGTCGCGGCCGAGGAGTTGGATGAAGCGGCCGAGGAGGACGTAGACACCTGCTGTGTAGAATGTGGGGGCTGTGTGGGTTAGTTTGGTCCGTCCGATTTCGGGGTATGCAGGGGAGGTAGGCTTTGGCGTACCGATGATCAGGGTTGTGATTTGCATGAGGAAGGCGTTGGTGTTGTATGGGCACTCTGCAGACCATGTTCGGCCGGCCCAGCCTATGACTTCGGCTGTGGATGTATGAGCGATGTTGTTCTGAATACTCAGTAGTTAGTGAAGCACTTACTGAGACTCCCAACGGCGAATACAGCGCACCACCAGGTCCGTTTCCAGGCAAACTGTATTGTCTGGCCGATCATGGTAAGGCCGAAGAGGACAAGGAAGACAATGCCTGCAGCGAGAGAGGGCACATAGCCATAAGGAGTGCCGATTCCTTCGACATAGGCATAGCAGCCGGTTTGCATCTGCTTCCTGACCTCATATGGGATGGTGCCATTAGGCAGTATGACGTCCTGGAGGTTTATTTCCGACATCTTGGACCGTGGTCGTAGTTGCGAAGAGAAACTGTCGAGACGGAGGAACAGCCGGGACTCAAAAGGAATAGATCAATATTGGTGTAGGCCGAGGGGCAGCCGGTCGAGTTTGAGACTAAGGAATAATATGGGGTAGAAATCTAGATATAGCAAAAGAATGACAGGCCTTTGGGGCCAAAAGATCGGTAAACGAGCGACGGCGGCAAGGAATCAAGCAGCATGAGAGATCAGTTATGAACGAACGAGGCTTAGAGACTTGGCCATGAGGATGACTCTCCGACGGCCTCTGAAACAGTCAACATGACGCGAAAGGAGATCGCGAAAAGTGCCAATCGCCAAAAAATCTGCCAACCCCGAGTCGGGACCGGATAGATTTGGATGCCCGCCGTTTCTCATGATGGCAGCCTTCGGATGCTGGCGGAGCACTCCCGCACAGAGGGCTCTGTGATTGCTCGATTCCTGTCCCTGGTCCTCGGTCGGGCCGCGTGTCATTCGGCAGTTGATGGTCTGGGTGGGCTCTCCCAAGGCTGAAGCCCCCAGGTTTGTCAAATTGTCGCAAGGTTGGATGGAAAGGGTTTAGTCGCTGGCGAAAGTTGGTCCGAGCAGATCGGGGACTTTGTCGCCTACCCAGAAAGGCTTGAGTTGAACTTATCATGCTGTTCTCATTGGCGCGTGGGATGGGGCCGTTTTGGTCATGGTCCGATTCCTTAAAAGATCGATGTCGGGGTTCTCTACCAATTTAACCGCGAAGTCTTATCGACGACTCAATCAAGTCGCAACAAACAAGAAGAGCCTCATGAGGCCGACTGGATGGCTCTCGAGTCTCGACATCCACGTATATGCCGGGAATCCCATCGCGAATTAGCAGATGATGAGAAATGCCGAGAGTCTGCGACTGTGATTGAGGTCCCAAAAATTCGACACTAAGGATCACATCCTTTCGAAACAATTCTGACACGAGATGAGCCGATGCATCGAGAAATGATCGGGAGCGGACGCTGAAGGGACGCACTGATGCAGCAACCGCCACAGCTGGGACAACGGTATAGCAGAAACAGCGCGGGGAATACGGAGCACAAGCTGAAGTTGGGAGATTTTGATAATGATGGGAAGTTGGAAGAAGAGAAGTCGAGGAAGAGAGAGTTAGATGAATGCAGTGATCGACAGGGACAAGGTTATGTCAGCCGTGTAACAGACATCCCCTGTCATCTCTTCTCCTACGGTTTTCTGCTTCGGATCTGTGTCAGCTCTAGCCTCTACGATCTGCCTATGAATCTGGCAAAGGCTTTGAAGGGAGAAAAAGCTATGATTTGTACGCTAACATGTCCAGTCGTGTCTTCATCTACGTACTGCTCTAGTCGAACGAGGGCATATCGTACGTGCCTTCAGGGTCTATGAGAAGTCAGCGCATGTTTTGGAAAGAGACGCTCAAGGAGCGCGGACTCACCTTGATGATTCTCCACAATATACTTCCGCGTCTCACGGATGTTGTGATCAAATTCAGAGCAAAGCTCCTGCTGCCGCACCTTGACCTTCTCGTTCCACCTCGCTCCTCCAATGACAGCTGACTTGGCAACATGGTATCGAGACACCTCGTTGACAAGCATCATGTCGAATGGCGTCGTGGTGCTTCCCTCTTCTTTGTACCCCTTGATGGTAGCCCGGTCGAGCTTAGGACGGCCGAAGAGCAAGCCCTGAAGTTCGTTGGCATAGCCGTGGTAGTTGAAGTGGATGGGGTGGTCCTCAGTGAAGAGGTTGTCGAATGCCTCGTTCTCCAAGGCGTGGGGGTGAGCACCCTCGTTCTCAAGGATGAACAGATCCGTCACGTTGACGACGCGAACGCGAAGCTCAGGGCATCGCTCTCGCAGAATGGCAGCAGCCTTGATGACCTCAAACATGACCTCGACACCGATCCCGACCAGGACGACGTCCGGCCGGATTCCCTCCTCGGTACTGCAGAACTTGAAGATTGAGGCGCCGGCTCGGCAGTGGTTTTCTGCCTCTTCTGGGCTGAGATACACCGGAGTGGGCTGCTTTGAGCCGACCATGAGGTTGATGTAGTTCTTTGATTTCAGACAGTGGTGCACGGTGGTGAGGAACGTGTTGGCATCGGGAGGTAGGTAAACGCGGGCGGCGTCCGGCTTCAGGTTAAGAACTGCGCCGATGAAGGACGGGTTCTGGTGGGAGAAACCGTTGTGCTCCTGTCGGGCCCAGGTGCTGGTCTCGATGTAGTTGAGGCTGCTCACGTCACGGTGCCATGTCGTTTCCTTGGCCTGTTTGCTGGTCAGCTGGAAAACGTTATGATTGACCATGTCGCTCGACTCACCATCTTTGTGAACTTGGCATACTGGACCATCATGGTATGGATAATACCAAGGAAACTCTCATACGAAGGGAACATGGCCGTACGACCGGTCAGTGTGTACCCTTGCATGAAGCCCTGACACATGTGCTCGCTCAGAACTTCAATCACACGGCCTCCCTTCGCATTCGAGAATTCGTCCCATTGGAAGTTCCTTCCGGTATGTGACAGGGCATCGCTCAACTTGTTACTCTCGAGCTCGTCAGGCGAGAACAACCGAACATTATGCGGATTCTTAACGAAAACCTGGTCAATGAAGCCGCCAATGGCCTTCATAGCGCTGAACTGATCCCCCTTCTTCACGCAAAACTCCTTCCAGTCCGGAAGGTCGGGCGCAATATAAGCCTTGTAGGCCTCCGGCCGCGTCCCGAGTTTCTTTTCATCCGAAGGAATGATGGACTTGATCTCGTCAATGACATCGCCGGACTCTGTGAAGAGCTCCTCAGGTTTGTATGAGGAAAGCCACTTCTGCAGAGCCTGGAGCTCCTCGTCATCTTTCTTCGCAGCGGGAAGAGGAACCTGGTGAGAATGGAACGATCCCTCGATGAACTGACCGTGCAGCTCTTTCGGCCCTGACCAACCCTTGGGCGTTCGCATGACGATCATAGGCCACCGAGGCTTCATGATAGGCTTGCCCGAACGCGCAGCCTTTTGGATCTTCCGAATCTCCTCAACTGCCCACGACATTGCGCTATGAAGGTCGTTGTCGATGTTGTCCAGATCCTCAACAATGCGAACCTGGTACCCGTAACCCGTGAACAGGCACACGAGCTCCCTGTTATCCATGCATCCAAATATTGTGCGCTCACTGATCTTGAAGCCGTTTACATGGAGGATCGGAAGAACCGCTCCTGACTCCGCGGGGTCGAGGTATTTGATTGCGTGCCATGATCTGACGCTCTCGTTAGCACAACCCAGACAATCTGCCTAGAGAAACGTACGTGGCTGTAGGACCAGTCTCTGCCTCTCCATCTCCAATCACACAGGTCACGATCAAATCAGGGTTATCAAAGACCGCGCCGAACGACACGGACAGCGCATAACCCAGCTCTCCTCCTTCATGAATAGCACCGGGAGTTTCGGCATTAATATGGCTTCATCCAGCATGTTAGCCTTCCTCACTTTTTCCACATGGTCGGATTCCTGACTAACCTAGGCAACCCGGCGCTGGTACTAAACGTCGAAATGAGGTTTTGCAATCCCTCCTTGTCCTTGCTGTACTCAGGGTAAAACTTCCCAAGCGAGCCTTCGAGCCACAGCGCCGCAAGCAGCGCCGGCGCTCCGTGTCCTGGCCCAACAACGTACAGCATGTCGAGGTTCTGTTTCTTGATGAGGTAGTTTAGGTGCGAGTAGACGAGGATTAACCCGGGACATGTTCCCCAGTGTCCTGCACAAGTTAGTATACTCACTCTCAACCCTGAGATAAAGCCACTAACCAAGAAGCCGCGGCTTGATATCATCTTTTTTGAGACTCCGCTTCAGCAACACATTGTCTTGGAGAAAGATCATAGCTGTACTGCGTTAGCTCGGCGCACGCCCAGATCAAATCCGTCATAGCAAGCTTACCAGCAGCAATGTACGCCGCCGCGCGGCGGTACTTGAGCAATGCATCGCAATCGCTCTGATCCAGACTCTTCTTCTGCGCGGGCACAAGGAGTTGTTCCACGAGATCGGGGACATGCGATGGCTTCGGCGCCGGATTCGGTCGGTCAATTATCTCTCCGGGCATGATGGCGGTGGTACGTGTAGATGGTATTAGAGGTGCAGATTGTAGATTAGGTGATTCTGCAGAGAAACGCTCGAGATATCTTTGTCGGCGCTCGAGGATATATAGGCCTTGAGACGGTCTGGCCTTGTCCAACGGGAGGCTCGGAACAGGGCTACGTCCTACGTCACCGAATGTTGACATCACTCAGGCCACGGCCAACAAACAAGCGCGCAGCGGAGTACAAAACGTCAGAAAGCAGGATGGATAAGTAAAAGAAACTCCTAGGCACCGGCAAAATATCAAGTAATTGAATCCATCCGCGACACAACCGGGACTCGTCAAATCGTCTTACCCGCCGACAATTATATACTTCAACCAACCTACCAAGACCACACCACGACAGAAGTCACAGAACAAAACTACACAAAATGCCCCGCAAGTCCATCCTCTCTGTGAACGCCGGCTCATCGTCGGTAAAAATAACCTTCTACACATACACCCAAACGCCGTCCGTCATCGCGACCGCGCAGGTCTCCGGCATCACCGCGCCCCCCGCAAAACTCAAGTACAGCGTCGGCGAGAAAGAGAAGAAAGAAGAACTGAAGGAAAAAGTAAGCTCGGGACAGGATGCTTTCAAGCTCCTGCTCGATCGCTGCATCAACGATCCGGACCTCAAGGATGTCGCAAGCCCCGACGACCTGGCCTATATCTGTCATCGCGTGGTGCATGGGGGGGACTTTGAAGGCGCGGTCGTGATCAATGAGGAGACGTATCATCAGTTGGAGGAGTTGGAGGATTTGGCGCCTTTGTATGTCTCTCTATACCTGTCTGGGATCTACTTGGTACCGTGAAGCATACCTGACAATTGCTCGGCAGACACAACTTCTCCGCGCTCGAAATCGTCCGGCTCTGCAAAAAGGAGCTCCCCAATGTCCAGAGCATCACGTTCTTCGACTCCTCGTTCCACAAGACTCTCCCCCCTTACGTGACAACGTACCCAATTGACCAGGAGACGGCGAAGCGCAACAAGCTGCGCAAGTACGGGTTCCACGGGATAAGCTACTCGTTCATCCTGCGCTCGGTGGCAGAGTACTTGAAGAAGCCGGTTGAGAAGACCAGCCTGATCGCCCTGCATATAGGGAGCGGAGCGTCGATTTGCGCGATCAAGGATGGGAGATCCGTCGATACTTCGTATGTGCCTAGACCAATCATTATTTATCCCTTGCGTCCTGCGTCCTGCGTCCTGCGTCCTGCGTCCTGCGTCCTGCGTCCTGCGTTCCGGGAACGCAACCGGCCAATCGTGAACACTCCAGACTCCATACTGATGCATTGCTAACATACCTGCCTGTGCAGAATGGGATTGACGCCCCTGGCCGGACTACCAGGCGCCACACGCAGCGGCGATATCGATCCATCGTGAGTGCCTGAGTTGCCATTTAGATCTGGACTGATCGGCCTGGATCCGTGCGCCCCCTTGCATTGCATGAGAGCTAATTCCCGGTTTTTCTAGGCTTGTCTTCCACTATACCAGCGAGGCGGGAAAGCTCAGCCCTGCCAGTACTAAAGAAATGCACATCAGCACGGTAAGTTAGAATGCCAGGGACATGGTCGATTCGACATCTAACAAGGCGTTGCAGGCCGAGGAGATACTGAACAAGAAATCCGGCTGGAAGGTCCTTACAGGCACCACGGACTTTTCCCAAATAGCTGTCGAGAACCCACCGAGTGAACAGCATAAACTCGCTTTTGATATCCTCGTCGATCGCATCGTTGGCTACATTGGGAATTACTTCGTCAAGCTGGATGGGCAGGTCGACGGGCTTGTCTTTGCCGGAGGGATCGGTGAAAAGAGCGCGCTGTTGAGGAAGGCTATCGTTGAGAAGACACGGTGCCTTGGTTTTGCGGTTGATTCGGAGAAGAATGAGAAGGGGCCTGGTGAGGATGAAACGGTGGTGGATATCACTGCGAGTAGCAAGTCAGATGAGAGGCGAGTATTTATCTGCCAGACTGATGAGCAGGTGAGTTTTCTCTCTATCATTGTCAGACGGTTGCTAATGTTGACCCTTGCAGTTCGAGATGGCGTTTAACTGTATCCAGACGCAGGGTCTCGGTAAAAAGTAGGACAGATAGGAGATTAACCGTCAATAGACGAGATAGCTGTTTCGACCGTTGTCAGTATCACGATCAATATCCTTGTGACAGATTATACCCACAACCACCTCCAACATACCCCAAATATCCAATATATCGAAAACGCCCCAACTCTCAAACCACCCACTCATACGAAATGGTCGAGACTGTTGAGGATCCAGACCTTCCGTGACTTACCTGTCCACTCCATAACTCCGAACTTCCGTTCCTCTCAAACAGGACCCTTCGCCAACCCAACAGTCAAGCCACCGGAACTTCTATTAAAGCCCTATCAATCAAACTGCCGCCAAGCCAAACGCCGGGACAAAGAGAACTGAGATTAAGGCACCGGAACGCCTCCGATCTGCCCGCGGCATCCCGGTACTTTTGCCAGATTGACCAATCTTTCTGTCCCTTTCCTGGTTTTGAGTCACTTTGCGATTGGGCAATGAAGCAAACCCCGGCGCCATGCCGTAGCCCTAATATTCCATCAATGATCATAGCTCGCCTCAATCCTTAGACCCAAAGCCACCAGCAAGAAACAAAGCCAGCGTTGACTATGGCGCAGCCTAGGGATCTTCCAATCTCCCGTGGCTTGCGGACTGGCTACTGCTTGACTTGCTGGTGTCTGGACCTGGTCTGGACCTCGATTTCCTGGATAAGGTAGACGGAATGGCCGGACTGTGACTGTGACTGACTGTGGAGTACAGCGTACTCAGATCACCTGACAGGCCAGATGGATCATGGTGATCACTGATCCATCACCCCATCACTGATCAGCGGGCGGAGACGCATCCCTCTTCCTCCTTCTGTAAGGTATCTGCGTTCCAGCGTTAGCTTCCAACACCAGGGCTTTAGATGAATGGATAGGTACGGAGATTTCGAATTTTGCCACAGCGCCACCGCCGCTTCACTCTCTCCGTTCTTTGTCTTTGTTTTCCTCCCCAGGAAGGTGGGATTGCGTATCAAGGAGGGTCCAAGAATTGGGAGCTGATTTTGAACGATTGAAACGACATACTGGAGGGCAGGATGTGAGTGGCGGGGAGAAGGTGCTATATCCCGAGCCCCTCCTGTGAACTCCGTAAGCATGGCCAGGAACGAAGGAGTAGTCTAGGACTGTACCTGGAAGTCAAGAGAACGGGCCGAAGCGATAACCTTCCAAGTTACTCAATTTCGACCACCAACTGCTCGATCACAAAGTAGGCAATCTCCGCGATAATTATGCCAGCCACTATCACACACTACTTACTCCGTAAGATTAAGAGTCAGTTAGTCACTATCAGAGCCAAGGACGGATTCGGCCGTGACTCGCGAGTCGCGAAGATCAGGGGGCTGCATGATCATCGTGCCGCGGGCGCTATCTGCATGATTATCATGAGTTACCTGGCTGATGGGACAGGCTAAGAATTATCGCTAGTTTCCCGTCATTACTGTACGTGTCGTTAGGCTTTCGGAGTGCCTAATAATAACACTGTGCGGGAGTGCAGCGCACTGCAAGGCGATCAGCTCTCCGTGCTTGCTCGGTTCCTGAGTTGTTGAGCTGAAGAAGTCAGATAACGTGGCAGCGGCAGCACCGTGTGACGTGGCAACGCGGAGTACGATCAGGACACCACGCGGTTATCTCCCTCATCCGAGCGCGGCGTACAGTGTGCAACAACCAGTTTCAGCTCCGGATTGTTTCCAGGTGTACCAAATCCCATACTTGTCGGGCCCGAGTCTGGTTGACCGATAACGACCAGCTTTCGCTCTTACATAACGCGGAGGTACGCGGACATCGCGGAGAGATATCTCGGTGATGATTGATCTCAGCTATCGCCCTGCTTGCTTTTTCTCTCCCGCGCAAGGCAGTACGGGTGAGGCGGAAGTCAGACAAATGCTCCGTATACTGGATGGCAGGGTAGTATCCGTCGAGAACGCATACGCAGATGCTGACACGGTACGGAGCACTCTGTGTCTGAGCTGATATACTTAGACCGGTGTCAGATCTCGTTCCCAGTCAAAGCACAGTAAGACCATGTCTAATGAGGTGGCCCCCACGGATAGGCCTCCCACTGGATCAGAGCCTGTAGCAGTTCCAGGCGTGTTCTAGAAATACCCCGGTGCCACAAGGGCTAAGAACTTTTGATTTATTCTTGCAGTGTCACTTCGCTTTACGGGCGAGATGAATCACGGAGATTAATAGGTCGCGAACTGCGCGTGTCTTCTGCAGACCTGCTCTGATCCGGCTAGCAGGGTATAGTATAGGGCCGTAGCTGTTTAGAAGATATGTCTTGGATACGTAGCAGCAGCGACAGATGCCTCTGTACCAATCAGAGAAGATCAATCACCACTTCAGTAAAGGTCCAGCCCTCAGAGACATTAACAGCAGTCTGGAAGACATCTCCGTGGCGCCCTACATCGGATATCCCATATCAAATATCGATCCGCTGCATCTCGACCTATCGAGCGGCTACATCGGATCTCAAATCTTCTGACAGACCCAGGAATTTGCGCGCCCGGGTTGGTGCGCTTGCCGTCTGCAGGTTGCTTTTTCCGACTGCCCAATTGCCGCGGCAGGCCGCTCAAGCGAGCTCGAGCCGCATACCTGTTGAGAACAAAGAGAACACCCATGTTGAGTATTAACGAGAAGAAAAGCCGACAGCCGTAATATGTGGTTTTCTTAGCGGGAAGGATCACAAAGAATGCAACGGGATGGCTGCGACGGCGTAAACTGAATTTGGATCCAGCCTGCCAGGTATATTGAGGATTTGGGGCTCGGCGCGCAGTGGTTCGAGCGTTCATTTCGATTATCTTGCGGTTTATGAGATGGGTGGTTGGATATGTCATAATGTTCGGCTGTCACAGTAGTTGAATTGGAATTGGGGGAATACCATACCCACGGCGACCAAAACCAAAACCGCAGAACGGAGACGGAGATTTAGACTTGACCTATCGTTCGATAGACGTTGCTGAGGCGATATTTCTGCAGTTGTTGTGACAGAGCTTCTGAAGCACGTGTGGCTTGTGTAGCAGACAATCCCCTATGTGTTCGGGCCTTGGAAATGTGATGTATACACAGTCCAGTCAGCGATTCAGCCGATTCTGATCGATCTCCAAACAATTGGTGCTAACTTAAATCAGCTTCAGCCATCAAATATACTCGGGTCCCATGCTTCAGTTGAATATCTCATCCCAAGGCCAATAATTCATTATTCTGCAAGGCGCGTTCCAGCCTCCCGCTTGGTTCCCTGGCAGATCGGTAGATCGCGTCTGCAAGCTGCATGCAAGCAAATCGGGCATGCGCCTAAGCGTCGTTTGTCATACGAGCAAGTACCGTTCTTGGCTCCGATATGAGCTCTCGGGCCTTCTTTGTAATATCTGATCTGGAGAGAGCTCGGAGCGAGGAACCCTGTTGCCATGCGGCAAGGCGAGGCTCAGGCCAACGATCTGTCATTCCTATGAGTCCTATTCATCAGGTCGGTGTCAGTGTCGGAGGCCCGTTGGAGCTCAAACATCTGCAATCTGAGGCTAATGCATCCAGCCGAAACCGAATTTCTGAGCGGAAATGTGGAAAGTACCCTTTCAGAAGGCGCAATGTAAGTGTTTACCGTCCAGAGGTTGCTAGGAAGCACTGGCTTCTGATCACATTGGCTATTTGCGACTATGAGCTTCTTTGTTGCCTTTAGGCTTTGAGTCAGGAACAGCCGGATTTCACCCCGTATCGGACTCATCGAGAGCAATAATACCCCATGGGCAATTATCTTCCCTTCGCGGAAGTGCGGGCGCGATCCGTGAGCAATCAGAAGCTCGAAGCACTAGTCTGATTGAGAGAATGATCTCCTGGACGGACTCCGGGACTCAGGAGAGGGTGATCTTCGCTGCAGGGTGCGAAGCGGTGGAACGCGGAAGCGTCTCCCTGCCAACCCGGCTCAGAAATTGGGCCCAACGGTTCAAATTCTGGACGTGGCCGTTGTTCTTTTGTTTCTAGTTTGGTTCTAGCTGTATCCTATTTGCGACCGGATCGTTCTCCGTTTCAGTATTGACTTTGACCTAAAGTGTCTTGGTGTGGTTTCTGAATCATTATCGCGGCCATCGATGAAGGTATGCGAGGCAGACGATTGGCTGCGGAGTGGAACGGAGTTGGTGGTGGGCTGGCCATCCTTTGGAGGGAATTACGTCGTGGTCTTTTCAGAGTGGTCGGCTTAAAAACTGTGGAAAGTCTAACGGTCCGCGAAGTGAACCATGGACAGGAGAGCTTCCAGAACGATTCTGGAAGCTGGAATACCCGCTGGGCTGCAGCAGAGGATCGATGATCATGGGCTAGTCGTCCACTTAATGCATACGCCAATGCAGGAACATTTGCATACCCGAGCGGCTATACTTCTCCCATCAACACGCTGAAGAGGTTCCCTATGCCCGATTCTGTCCCAGTAAGAACCGCGTTTGATGAATCTCGCACTTCTAAGCCGGTCCTCTTGCTGCGATGCAGGGTTGGGCACAATGTGTCAAATCTAATATCGAGAGTTCGAGACCTGATTCAACGGCAATCTCGCATAGTCTCGCTAGACCCCAGTCGCCATCGCCCTGGATGCAGCCGCTGACCACCTTCCAAGACCAAAGTACCGACAGTCCCCCGAGAATTTCGTCAAGCGCCGAGGATCACCCATGCATTCGCCTTCATGATTTAGGGCAGATCCAATAGCAACCGTTCATGACACTTGAAACACGCTTACACGCAGCCAATCCAGGTTCTCACGTTCCAGAGTCATGTCCCAGAGTCATGTCATGTTCCAGCGCGAAGGAAACACGAGAATAGAAAGAAAGTCTAAAGTCCCGAGACATGTGCTTGTCGCCGACAGCCGTAAGTTCGTAACGGTTACGCTGTCAACCTGAGGGAGCCGAAGATGGACCGCGGGCCCGCAACCCGCGTGGCTTTATGCTGGGATCAAATTCAATCGAGCCAGGAAGCTGATCCTTCGTCGTCCGGCATGATCCACCTGGTGCGAAGTCAA